GAACACAAATATGACATTGAACACAACAGATGCACCACTGCCCTATCTACGTATGCTTCGACCCCTGGCATAAGTGCTAACTTGCAGAACGCGCAAATCATTAAAATGTCACACAGAAGAGAACACGTACGAACGCTAGAAGCTTTGGAAATTTATAAAGCAGGATTACGTAATAGCTGTATCAACTATAAAGATGCTATTAATATTTCGGCAGCTTGGAGGTTTGCGTATGAAGCAGAATGCCCCCACAACTCTATGTAAGGTGTTATACATCGTTTACATGTATATGTAAAATAATATTTGTGAATATTTGGGTTCACGTACGTAATGATTAATACGCATGCGCGTAATGAATTTTATTCGCAAAGATGTATATGTTCCAAAATGTTTAAATATTTAAGCACAACGATTTTCGAATATCAGAATTTAAAACCTGAGGAAGACTGAGGAAGGCAGTCGAAAACGTTTGTTGTTTTCATTAAATATATTTTTACTGGTCAAGTAAAGGTTTTTATGTGTGTTTATATTAAGTAAATTGGACCAGTACCAGGTGAGAAGTAACTATTATAAATTAAATATTTTGTTTTTAATGTAATAATCATTGATGAAAAATAAGACCTATGTTATTCATTATTATATGTAATATTAATTTTTATTTATCATTATTTTATATCATTAACTTATCATTAATAATTACTTACTTTCAATTTTAATAGATTCGACAGCTTCCTTGTTGTGTAAACCTCCATCAAGTTCAATTTTGTAAGTTATAATAATAACGTAGTAACAAAGCTAAGTTTTAAATAATAAATGAATAATAATAAATGATTGGTAATTAATGATTAGTAAATGATTACAAAGTGTAAACTTAATTAAAATCAAAAATTATTATTTTTTTTTTTTTACTTTCCTGGCTGTTATGTATACATTACAGGGGAAAGTATTGGAATTGTGTCAGATTTAATCCATTGAGTTTTTGGCAAATGTTTACATTTCAAGGACTCTTGAACCCAAAAAAGTATTTAAAAAATGGAAAAAATTTTGTGTGTGTGTGTTGGTGTCTACTTGTTTAACATATCAGGATGGGATAAAGATTAGAGAAGTTGTGGTGCAAGTTTAAACATTACTTGTACATGGCACTCACTCACTCACTCAATATATTTTATTGGTACATTAATTGTACATGCCCTGGCCCCTCATGAAGCATTACCAGGGATCAAGTGGACAGTATACATTAGAATACATTTTGATTAGGTGAATTACATAAAATTAACACGTGTAGGAAGTGTACAGAAAAATAAAAACATTTAAATATTTACAAAATATACATAGTTGATATAAAAAGCAACATATATATTTAGAAGACACATTACAGTTCTTTCGCGTGTAGTAGTTGTAGTTACCTTGTAAAGTCCAGGGGGCGAAATAATGCCCCAATTCAGCGTTAGCTGTAGATCTCGGTTTGGTTAACATAGTTAATTTGCTTAGCAAATTGTTTGAAGTTATTGTAGATCTCTCTGTTTAGCCAGATGTCTGATGGACTGCATGACCATTCTATACCCTGTTCTTCAATAAGTATTCTTAATTCATTTCTTTCACGTTCAAAAGTGGTACAATTATATATATATATATATATATAGTGCTCAGGTCTGTCTTCAACATTGCACATAGGGCAAAGACCAGAAGTCCTATTTGCAAACCTGTCAAAGTAATTGGCAAACTTGCCATGCTTGGTGAATATTTGGGTAGTGCAATAATCAGGAGTATACCAGTCTATACTAATAAATATGTCTAAGTCCAGAATAAACCTGTGGGTTATGTGCTGCATATCGTGATCCCATGTGGTTTGCCACTGTAGTAAAGTGTCTCCATAAAAGTTGCCACGGTGTTTGTTGACTAATTTTGTTATATGCAGTATTGTTGCTATCTTTTGTGGTTGCATACTTAGCCATAGTATCTGCTCTTTTGTTGCCTTCCAGGCCCTGATGGGCTCTGACCCAGGAAATGTGTATATTGCATTTTGATTTTTTAATCAAGTTTTTAATATTTACAGCCAGTGGATGTAATTTGTTGCTTCTGATTACATTATAAGCAGATAGTGAGTCGGTGTATATGTCAACAGCTATATTCTCATAGGTCTGGTTGACACAGTCGATTACTTTCTCAATAGCAAATAGTTTGGCTTGAAATACAGTACACCTATCATCCAGCTGGAACGTCTGTTGAGAGATTTCTGTATTGTTGTTATATATTACAAAGTTGCATCCTGCTGAGTTGTTAATATGAGACCTGTCTGTAAAAATATTGATGTTAGTTGATTCACTAGTGTCGTGTATGTCTGTTGTATTTTCATTGGGAGGAAGAGACTCATGAAATGGGATAAGCCATTCAATTTCATCATGATGTATTGTGCTTGTTGTAGTCTTGATGTTCTTACTCCACTTGATTAATTGGTACTTTTGCCTCTGAAGGATAATGAGATCTATGGGCGGCTTCTGTGCACTCACCTGGAGACATCTGTTACTAACAGTTCGGAATGCCTTAGCTATCAGGATAAGCACACGTCTTTGTGATGATATCAGTTTGTGGTTTGTGTGTACCTTCCTTGTGGCCCAACTCCAGGTGCCACAGGCATAAGTCGTACTAGGTAAGTATATTCCATCATAAATGATTGATGTTGCATTTGAAGTCAAGCCCCAGTTACTTTTCGCCACCTGGGTGTATGAGTGCAGGATAAGCCCAGTGTGGTTCATTATATGTTCTATGTGTTTGTCACAAGACAACCTAAAATTCAAGTATACTCCGAGATATTTGAGGGTCTCTTGTATCCCTTAATGGTTTTACCGTTCATCTTGATGTGTCGTGGACGCCAATAGAGGTTAGCATGTCTAGGTCTGTTGAAAACTATTCCCTTAGTTTTCTTGGGATTAAACCTCAATTTGTGTTCCTCTCCCCAGCTGTAGATATGTTGAAGCATAGTATTCCCTCTGTTTTCAAGATCAGCTCTGAACCTGCCCCCATAAGCAGCATGACGTTGTCGGCATAAGCAAAGCATTTTGAATGTCCAAAATCCTTCTCTAAAAATGCATTAAAGGTCACATTCCACAGCAGGGGTCTACAAACAGACCCCTGTGGGCATCCTCTGGTAATGGTTTTGGTAACATGGTACTGACCATAATGCAATGTAGCTCTGTGGCCCTTAAGATAGTCCTGTAAAAGGTTGAGAATGTTCCTTGGACACTTGATGCAATTGATAGATTATGAGGGGCCACCATGCACTATCAAAAGCTTTTGATATGTCCAGGCTTGCCCCTAAAACGTATTTATGATCCTCCAGGAGATGCTGAATTTCCTTGACTATGCCATTAATGGCATCTTGTGGACGGAAACCAAATTGATATTCGCTAAGGCAATTGTTCTGCTCGATGAACCAAATGAGCCTGTTCATAATCAGTTTTTCTAGAATATTTCCCATACTGGTAATAATGATATTTGCCTGGATTCTGAGGTAGAACCCGGTTTAGGGACTAGTATTACACAAGCAGTCCTCCACTCCTGCGGAAAGATTGCGTGTTTAAAGTAGGCATTGCAAATTTTAAGAAGTTGTTGTGGTAATAAGGTTTCAGAGGTTGGCAGTAATTTCTGCTGTGATCTCATTGGGGCCTAGAGACTTGCCCCTGCCCAGGTTCCTGACAATATTGTCAACTTCCCCTATAGTGAATGGTGGAACATCCTCTGTGTTGTCTAGTATATTGGTATCTGTATGCAGTTTCCTTTGCCATTGTGAATCTTCTTCAGGATTATCATTTGGGCAGCAAGTTTGTAGTTTGGCATTCAGGATCTGGATAAGAGATTTAAGTTTGCTGTTATCACTTGATGATGTCAAAATCTGAGTCTTCTGCAGCTTATTACTACACATATGTGTAATGTAGCCACACAGGTTTACAGATGCCCTGGTGCAAAACTCTTACCAACTTCTTGTTTTTGTGCCTTTTATAGCTTGCTTATTTGTTCTTTGACTTTGTAGATAATTCTCCCTATGCGTCCTCCTTGTGCTATCATTGTGACATCTCTGGTACTGCTTTCTGAGTCTTCTGGTTATACTTCGGAATTTGCTCAGATCCGCCATACACCAAGGGACACTTCTCCTATTTATTCTCTTTTTTGGAATATAAATTTCACAAGCCTTATTAATGGCCTTAATGTTATTGTCTAGTTGAATTCTAGCTACCTCTGTTTCATCTGAGTAAGTTTCAATTAGGTGTTCCTGTAAATAGTTCTTAATTCCTATCCAGTTAGCTTGATTGAGTGCATATTTAAGACGTGATGCAAATATTGGCCTATCCCATCACCTGAGTCTGTCAATTCGTATTCAATATAGGCATGCTCACTTAAGCTCTCATCATTGATAACCCTCCAGTTTGTTATCCTGGAGTATAAGCTGTCATTGCAAACTGCCATGTCAAGTCAGCTTTCACCTCTACTCAAGGTGAAAGTGGATGGTGAGTATGGATTGTTTATAATAACTAAACCATTAAGCACAAAGAATTCTTCCAGGAAGCTCCCACATGTGTCCAAGTTCTTGCCGCCCAATGCAGGGGAATGGGCGTTGAAGTCCCCTGCAATGACTATATTTGTGCCTTGAAAGTCGTTAACAATCTTCTGTAGTTTCTCAATAAAATATACAGTCTCTGTGTCCCCAGGGAAGTAAACATTGACCACCACAATCCTTTCATTGTTAATCATTATTTCGGTTGTAATCAAGTATTGGTTACTGTAATTAACATGCGTCATTACAGATAAGCCGGTGTTAGGCACCAAAGTAATGGCTTATGGGAAATCCTCTGTGCACTGCAGTATGGGACAGTAAGTAGGTAAGCATGTGGGTACATCTTTACAATAGTAAGGCTCTTGCATGCACACCAGGTCATAATTAATAAGCTGCTTGCTAAGAAGGGAGGTAGCAGCAATGCTTTTCCCTAAATTGACTTGCAGTAAGAGTAATTTGTTAGGTTTATTTATTTCCATAATCGATTCTTGCCATTATGTTGTTTTTGATCTGGATATTTGTGGAGCATGTACTGTCTCATGCATTATGTTTATAGTTCAAAGCTTTGTTTCATCTGCAGTTGCAACATACCAGTTTGGTTTTCCTGTTGAGACACTCCCTGTAAAGATATTCACCTGAACAGTGGCTGCATTTAACTGTTGAGTGTGGGCAATCCTTAGCGGCATGGTTGTACTTGCAGCATTTAAAACACTGCAGGACCAGAAAGAAGTCAGCAGTCCTGCAGAGTGACCACTCTATGCTGATTTTTCCCAGGTGTAACAGGGTCTTTCTGTGTTGTGGAGGTGACCCTCTAGGGGACACCTCCACAACACAGTTTTTGTAGTTAGAGTCACGTTTTCCTAAGGTAAACTTGATATGGAAATGTTTCTCAAACTCTGTGATTGTGAATTGTCCATTGATTATATCATTTTGTTCATATTAGAGTAGGTAGTTCTTCCCTGATGATATCAGTCTGCACAGAGTAGATTACTGTATGGGGCCACCTCTTCTTCGGTCACTTTGTCATCAATTCTGGTATCTTTTTTTCAATGTTTCTTTGGAGGATAGCAGCCTCATCTTTGCTTCCTACCTCAATCACTACACCTCTACCCCTATTTTCCTTAACTAATCTATACCGATTCGTAAGGATGATGACTTGAGTTTGGATTGCATAATCTTGCAAACTGTATTGCTGTTAGTGCATTTTTTATTT